GGTTCGTCGATGGTGTTGGTGGGGTTTTTGGTGGTTTTCGTAGGGAGTGGTGGGGTTTTTCGGTGGTTTCAGTGGGAGTGGTGGGGAATTTGGTGGTTTCGGTGGGGTTTTAGGTTGTTTTCGGTGCGAGAGGGTGGATGGTGTTGGTGGAAGTAAGTTGGCTATGTCTGGTGGTGGAGCTTTAAAAATGGGGAGGGGAATAAGTTGAGGAGAAAGAAACATAATGTTATTATAAATAATGTGGGTAATTAAATCTATTAATCATTACTAAAACAGAATATACTTATATCATTTTGGGCACGTGTCAAGCTATTATTAAAAAATTTCCCTCTAAAACAATATATGATGTCAGCTTTAAGTTAAGGGATTTTTTTTTTAAAGTACATTTTATAGTTTTATTGGGAATAACATGCATCATTAATGAAATGTAATGTATACTACTACTTTTAAATATATTCAACACAACTAATCAACAACAATGGAATAACATTGCATTTGTTTATTTCACACGAGTTGACTCATTTTTATATTATATCACAAATAAATTATGGGAAAAAAATTATTGCTACTGTGCATTGCACGGGCACTAACTAGTAAAATATAATTAAGCTTGGAATGATTAAAAAAAGGAAAATTGGCTTAAAATAATACCAACTATCAACTTTGTGTGCAAATACTACGAACTTTACTATTTGTTATTAGCGGTACCATCTTTTGTACTATATGTGCAAAATAGTATGCCATTCACCGAAAAAGCATCGCGAGGAATATTTCGTCTATAATTATTATTCTGTTTTTTTGTTATTAAATTTATATTTTCTTTTTAAAAGTACAATCCAAATTAATAATACCCCATCCCTTTGTTAGGTTTTTTTTTTAATTTTTTTTTTTAAAATTGTCAATATGTATTTAAATATTATTTTTTTCAAAATACCTGTAGTAATTTTTACTACCACACAATAGTAAATAGGGTATTTAAATGCATTATTATTTTGATATAATTAGTTTCAAAAATTGTTTAAAAAACCCAAAAATTTCCCCACATTATTTTGGTTGGTGAACGTGGGGAAATATAGGATTTTTAAAACTAATTATATCAACATAATAATGCATTTAAATACCCAATATACTATTGTGTGACAGTAGAAATAACTATTGGTATTTTGAAAAAATAAATATTTAAACACATATTGACAATTCAGAAAAAAAAAATAAAAAGAAAGAAGAGGTGGGGCATTATTACTCTGGATTATAAAGGAAATTGTTAACATATACTACCTCCGTTTTTTATTAGTTGACATATTTTAACTTTAGCACTATTCACACACTTCCCTTTGACCAGGGTTTGTGATTTATACGTAATGAAAAATATATTCATGTGTGTCTTGTTAGATTCGTCACAATATATATTTTCAAAGTATCAACTTTTTATAATTTTTGCTTATCGGTAATTAAAGATATTAACGGTTGAATTTGTGCATTGACAAATGTGACTAAAGAAACGTGTCAACTAAAAAGAAACCGAAGAAGTATGTGTTTTGAAAAGAAAAACATAAAATTAATAAAATTATAATAAATATAGACGGAGTATTCCAGCTCGAATTTGTAACCAGAGTACTATTTTGCACACACCGTTGATAGTTGGTATTATTTTAAGCCAACTTTCCTTAAAAAAAGCAAAATCCCTAAACTTTGGCCAGTCAACCGAAATTGAATAAAAAAAATGCAAAATCCCTAAACTTTTGTCTAGTCGGCAATTAAATATAGATAGGTCCCCAAACTATGATGAGTCATTCTACTAGCCGCCATAAATGATGACTCATTGGTGATTGAGGAGTGCATATCAGCGCATAGCACCTATTGACAAACGAAGTGTATAGGAGGGCAGAAGCGTAATTTACCAGGCATTAGAAAACTTGAATATTCCACTTAATTGTGCTAGTGGTACATTTAATACTCCGAAAATGTACCACTGAAATCACATTGGTACATTTAATCAAATTGGTACGTACGTTTTGTACTTTGAATTGTACCACTAGAAAACAAGTGTCATCCTATACACTTTCTAAGCACATCGGTGCTATGCGCCAATACTTTTCCAGTGATTGAGGGGCCAAATTCAATCACTTGTAAAAATAGACCAAAATCGAATTTATACCAAAGTTGAAGTACTGTATTTATACTTTTCTCTTTGGCATTCCTGTAGAACAAAATTACTGTAATAGAGTAGTCCCAAGTGATGAAAATCTATTGTAAGATGGTAATTTGCCAAACGAAATTGATACAAAATCTAATCAAGTGTGAAGAGATAAGTAATCATTCAAAGGGGAAAATATTCTAGGTCAATATGGAGTTGAGTTGGTTCAAAGGGAAAATATAAGTAATACATTTATTTTCCTTTTTGAACCTCCTTGTGTTCAGTGGCGGATCTAAGATTCAAAACTAAGGGTAGCACCAAATGATAGGAAAAAAAATATATACACCTACTAAGTTGAACCTCAAACTAAATTTAAGTAGATAATAACACATCAAGTTAAATTTTTTGCATAATGTATTGTGATTTAGTATAAAAAAAATACCATCAAATTTTAAAAAATCTATTGATCTTGCAAGAGTTATTATCATGGATAAATTGTATACAATATATATCAAAATACTTCGTATTACAAACAAATAAATTTAGTCAAATCAATAAGATATTACTATTCTCTATATATATATAGTCCATACTAATAATTGTTCTTAACCATCTTTTTATAGGAGTTATTTTTATCTAATATATTTGAATCGAACGTAAATGACAAAAAAGTGAGAATTAATTTGGGGAAGAATCAATCTTGATGGAAGTCATTTTTATCTAATATATAATCATTGTCATTTTTTTTTCTTTTTTCCGGGGGGTAGCATGTGCCCCCAGGTCACAACGTGGATCCGACAGTGCTTGTGTCTATCTCCACTGTACAAGTTTTCCATGATCCGGAGAACTTATATGCTACTAATTGCATTTCTGCTATTTTTGTTATAAAGTTTCGAACCATTAGAGTCCATTCTCAGCATCTACTTTGTTGACCCCAATAATCTTCTTCGCAACTTCAGATCTCAAGTTAGACCAATCTAAAATTCAACTTGAATGACCTGGTTGCAGATGATTTGTAGAGTAAAACTGAAACTATGTATTCATTATGAGGGCATGGTGAAAGAAAATAGAAAACCCAGTCAACATAAGGTATGAAACCGATACAAGAACTAGAGCAACAAAAACCAAAGACGGTAAATTCTCAACAAAGAGCCTTCCAACTACAACATCTATAGGCACAAATTTAAAATAACAAGAGTAGGGGTAATAACTTTCAAGTCTTAATATCTTCAAAATCCAAAACATAGGCAGATTAAACCTTAAATCAAATATCTCTAACTTAAACTTGGATCTAGAAAGCAAAATTACTGAGAAACCCCAAGCCATTTTGTGAAGTTCTCAAACTCGGTGTAGTCAGAATCTGAAATCATGGTCTTGTAGAAAGACCTTCCGGAGGCCTTGATGGCAGTAAGTTCCTCCTGCTTAACATTCAGCAAGTACATAGCACAATTAGCAGTTACACAAATATTCAAGACAGCATTACAGCAGCAATAATACAACAGTAATACAGCCAAAAAACAAAAACCAGCAGCAAAAACAATATGGAAATAAAGCAGCAGCGAGTAAAACAGGGCAGCAAAAAGAAAAATAGAACAGCAATACATTTACACATAATTTATGATAGAATGTATTTTATGAAATAATAATATATTGGATATTATACACAATAGCTCGCTACAACTCGATCAAGACATATTAAATTTATTGAGAATTTTTTTTAAAGTTAAGGAGCAATAATTATATCCAAAGGCATTAAAACTCACAAAAGTACACTACTCAAACTAATTTACCTAAAAGAATGAATTGCAGTTAGCTAACACTTACACTAGATAATGTAAAACTTGCTTCACATCACATTTGAGTAAAGGAACAAAGATAGTCATCCCATATTTCTAAAGGCTGTGTACATTAGAATTCATATTGTATCAGTCTAATTACCTAAGCACCTAGACTAACTATATAATCTAGTTTAGAGTGTAACTAAATTAATGACATTTATTGATGTTAGCATAAAATCAAGTATATGTTTGCTTAAGCAAAGAATGATGATAACAAGATCACTTGGAGAATGCTTTAGGCCCAAATATGTCTCTCGTATTTGGAATGGAATTCAGTGGAGTGATTACTCATGTATTGCCATTTTGTCAGCCAAGGTGCCAATGACATGTAAAAGAACCAAAAGTAAAACATAACAATAAAATCTTAATTCTCATTACAATGCATAAAATGAATCAAGACAAACATAACAATTAGGTTCAAAACTCTAAATTAGATCAAAGCTAAACCAACTAGGAAACTGATAAACTTCCTCATCATGTATAAAGAAATATGAGCTCTTTCCCAAATTAAAGTCAAGAAGAACCGCAATTCCCAAATTGCAGCCAAAGTTTTAAGAATTCCCAAAGTACCGTCCACGTCTCCGGTTCAGGGGGAAGAAATTTTAAATCCGGTCTACAGCAAAACCGCTACCTCAAGTAGCGGTTTTTACTAATAAACCGCTACTTCAGGTAGCGGTTTCTTTTTAATAAACCGCTACTTCAAGTAGCGGTTTTTGTTTAATAAACCGCTACTTCAAGTAGCGGTTTTCTAGCAGGTATAATTTCCTGATTTCACTTTCCTCTTTCATTTTCGTCTTCTCACCAAAATCCCATCCACGCCTTCCACCAAAATCACACCTCCTTCAACGGAAGCCGGCGCAGCCAAGGAATCCACCGACGCCGCCGGAGCATTCCTCAGCGGCGGCGCCGCTGTTGACGCCGAGGGTTCGACGTGTCCATCTATCGTGTGCGCATACTGCTTCTGGACTACCATACTACAGAGATGCGTTTGACCATCAGCGCGAGGACCAGGTACAATCGGTGTTTCTTTTTTTTTGTGCATTGTATTTCTTCCATTATGTTAGTCATATACATGTTGACATACTTGTTTTGGGAATTAGATGATTTGGCAGCCATATACTGAGGCGGTGATGGATCGACTTCCGGAGATTTGTCGCTCAGACATGCACATTTGGCGTTCACGGGCACCTCTGATATGCTTTGACGTCGTTGAGTTCCACCTCCCAGACCGAGTCCTTCGTCAGTTCGGGTTAGACCAGCCGATCCCACAGGATGTAGACACGGACGTTGCTCTACACAGGAAGGATCGAAGGGGACAGCGTAATTGGGAGATTCGGCATTCGGACCATGTACACGAGTGGAGTCGACGAGAGGCATTAGTCGTCCAGGGATACCCGTTCACTGGGACTTCTTCCCCGGCCATGACAGAGTACATGGCTTGGTACCGTCGCATCAGAGACTGGTCATTACTCCACCTTCGCAGGAGCGCCCCCCGAGTCATTACCAACCAGCTACCTCTGACCTCCTGCTTGTATGAACTTCACTTCATTTCAATCTAGTTCTTACGTTTTTGATTTCATTTTACTAACATTAAAACTACACTTAAATGTAGGCACATGCATTTGCTGATTTGCACGTCCAGCTATCGGGAGCTACTGAGACCATCTCCCACTTGCCACCAGAGACGGCTATACCATTTGCCATACAGACGATGCAGGGTTTTACATCATTTTGTGGCCAAACCTTGTCTAGGGTGGGGCAGTCACACCTTATTCAGCAGCCTCGACCGTCCACGTCTTCATCTTCTACTGTGCACACTATGCCGATCAGACCACCACCTCATCGTGGAGGCCATTCAGCACGTGTCTTCCGTCCACCGACTCCTTCTCAGCATACTATCATGACATCTCCTCCACTAGTGCATCGCCAGTATCAGAGAAACCGACGGCGTAGCAACACTACGTCTGGGGTTGGAGTTGGCCTGGATGACATTCCAGAGGAGACAGCTGCATCATCTTCATCGTCACCTCATGGGAAGAAGCAACGCCCGAGCTAAGTGTATATTTTGGAACTAAACTAATTTTTTTGTAAATGCTTAGAATTGGATTTTGTTATATTTAATCAATTGAAAAATATTCGACTTTGCAATTTCGACTTCCTTAGATCTTCATAAACTTGTTATTTATGGTGGTTGTGTTGAAAATATGCTATATATCTCATGTTTTACAGATACACAACTTGCAGGTTTTTTTTTGAGTGATTATGCAAGTTTGAAAAAAAAACCAGTCCAGGGTAAACCGCTACTTGAAGTAGCGGTTTTTAAAGTAAACCGCTACTTGAAGTAGCGGTTTTAAACTAAGAAACCGCTACTTGAAGTGGCGGTTTATTGCAAAGAAACCGCTACTTCAAGTAGCGGTTTTAAACTGGACCGGAAAAAAAAAAAACCGGTTTTTTAACCAGTGCTTACGTGGACGGTAGAATGGGAAAATAAAAAGATTTGGCTGCAATTTGGGAATTGCGGTTCTTCTTGACTTTAATTTGGGAAAGAGCTCAAGAAATATCAGGACCTATACAATAAGACAAAAATTAGCGTTACTCTCACTATGTTCATAAATCATGCATAGATTCATGAGTGAGCACGGGCAGAGGAGCCTTCCAAGTATCACAAGAATATGATAATTCTGCATCTAAGATACTTTATGCCATAATGTTCAACTACAGGAAGTATCACAATAAACCATGACTACACCCATATACTTCCAGAGTTCGAAAACGAGGAGTCCAATAAATCTAATTTTCATCATTTTGAACATTCTCTTATTTTCCATCACTTCCATAGTATCCAAAACAGTACAGTGTGTTGGTGCATAAATCACACAATGACATTATCATTATCATAACAAGCAGAACACAATATTAATCATATCACTCTTTAAAAGTTGAATAATAATAACACAAAGAAATCCATATAAACAAATTAAATGTGCACCATTCCATCATTGCACAAACATAATCAATTCATAATTCCCACAAATAAATTAACCTCGAAAACGAGCAAAAACAGTAATGAGTAAAAGAAATATACCTTGGAAAGAAGGTTTCTCTTCTTCTGAAGCTTGGTTTCCTTAGATTCAGACCTTTGCTTCTCAGCCAACAAAGCCATTCTTCTAGCAGTCTTAGCATAAGGGTTCAATTTCAGCATAACATTGAGATTCTTCAATGGGTTCTTCTTCATTGGAGAACGAACATAATCCTTCTTAATCGGTCGAACAACGGACTGAATCTCATCAGAATTTATAAGCCTAGCAAGATCACCATTCAACATCTTAGCCCTTGGCAACAGGTACTTATTCTTCTTCTCAGAGGCCTTATCAAACGACCCGTAAATCGAATCGAGTTTCTCGAAAGCACCCTCAGTCCATATCACAAACCTACCCAAATGCCCTCCAGGAGCAAGCTTCAACAAATTCAATCTATCAACATGACAAATCTCCACCCCAGGAATGTTCCTAAACGCCTTAACCAGCTTGGAACCCTCGGTTGAGTACACGATAAGCGGCCCTTTTCGTGAAACATACCTTCTGTTCCTCATCTTCCCTTTCCCGGCACGAATCGCAATCGAATCCTTGGCCTTCTCCACATCCGCAATCGCACCAATCGACTTCAACACCTTCAACGCAGACTTAGTCTTCTCAACACCCTCAATTGCGTCCGACACAACAAGCGGAAGCTCGGGAACAGTCTCGATCTTATGCCCACGAGCAAGAACAAGAGAAGGAACAGCAGTAGCAGCAATGGCGGAAACAACAGCGTACCTCTTCTGATTAACATTAATCTTCCGATGCCATTTTCGCCAAATTCTAGTAGGAGCAAACATACGACCACCACGACACATGTTACCGAAGGCTCCTTGACCGGCACGGTGGGTACCACCACCAGGCACACGGGGGATACGGGAAACAGCACGGCCCGTGCCCCAGGACTCGGCGGAGGTTTGGTGGCCTGCTTTGCGGGAAACGGCGTAAGGTTGACGGGAGTTGTTGGAGATGTTGGAGTGGACGAAGGTGACGACGTCGGGACGAATAGGGGATTTGATTACGTCAGGGAGGGGGACGGTGGGGGTTGAGTCGGTGGACATGTCGGAGTCGATGGTTTGGATGGTGACCAATGGCCGTGCGGCGGCGGCGGTGGAAGACATTTTCAAAAGAGAGAGTTAAGGGAGAAATGTGGAGTTTAGGGTTTGAAATGAGTTGAGGTGAATGTGATCATATGTTGGAGTAAGGTTTTGAGACTAGGGTTTTTTATTTTTGGGCCAGGGTTTTTGACTTCTTGTATTTTAATTGAGGCCAATTATTATTATTATTATTATTATTATTATTTCTTTTAAAAAAAAAAAGGTACGAAAAATAAGGAAAACTTTAGGAACCCCTTCTTACGAAGACAATTTCTAACGCATTAGTGGAAATAATAGGGTATAAAGATGAGCATGTACAAAGAGTAATGTCTATGTTATCACTAATAAGATGACTTACATTCGCGATTCAATGTGTTGCTCTGTTTGCCTCTCTGTAAACGTGGTTAATTTCCCATTGCTGAAACCTTTGTAGAAGATTGAGAATGTCGACGATGATGTGATCGATTTGCCACGGAACAGACCAAACTCCTTTAATTGCGTTGAATACTAGGAGATTATCCCCTTCGATGACCAAATGTTGAATCTCGTGCTAAAAAGCGAGAAGGATGCCTTTTTGGAGAGTTGTAGCTTCTACAACGAAAACAGAGGTGTTGCTAAGGTTGAAGGTGCGAGCTGCTATAAGGAAACTGGTACTGTCTCTGATGATGACACCTGCTACTACTGAGTTGTTTTTGAGTGAACCATCAAAGTTGAGTTTGAAAGAGTTTAAGTGGGGGCTTCCCACACAACTTAGCGCGGAATGGAATGGGTGGGTTGGTGGTGAGTATGGGTTTGGGATCCATGCATAGGTGATCCCGAACTTAAAAGGGTATATGTGAGAGTACGATATTGCCACTCATTGAACGCAAATTGCGCTTTGTGGAAAGTACGAGGGATATCTAATGCTTCATTTCGGAAAATTATAGAATTTTGCTTTTTCCATATACTGCATAATATAAAGATAAACTTTTTAAGAATGGAATTGTTCTTTTTGAGGTTGTTTAGGGTAGTTATCAAGTCCCCATATGAAAGAGAATTGCTCAGCCAACTCTTGGTTAGAGGATGAAAGCCAAATTTCTTTTGCTTTTTTGCAACCGAGAAACAGGTGAATTGGAATGGGAATTATAACAATTAAACATGTAAGTATTACTGTATGCTTCAAAAAAAAAAAAGTATTATTGCATTTTTTATTTATTTTTTTAAGAAAAAACATAAGTATTTTTGGTTTTAACCTACCTTGCCAACAGGCTTAAAACAATTAAACATAAGTATAATTTTTTTTTTCCAAGTTCCTGGGTTTTTTATTCTCATAATGGTTGAAAATCGGGTTCTGATAATAATTGGAAAGGTGATTTGGATTCTTATGGATTTAGGATTTGTCATCAACTCTAAGATCAAAACATTAGCGCAGATTGCGAAGGTCACTACTGGAAAAGATGCAAAGATATCGAACATCACTGCTCGTGTCAAACTTGAAGCGTTAAGTGCGAACTGTGCCAAATAGTTTTTGATTATAATTGTAAAAGTTATGTTAATTTCTCTAAATTTGTGATAATAGTTATATTATTATCGTAGATGTCGTATGGCTATTTATTAATTATATCATTTCTTCCCGTTAAAAAAAAGGCTTAAAAATTGAATTGCTTTTGCTCACATGAATATTATTTAGCAGATTATTTCGTAATAATCACAACATTAGGGGTGTGTTCTATTCACCTGATTTTTATATATATGAATGTTTGGGGTGAAATTACCCACGCCACGTGGCCTAATAGCATGCTGACACGTGTCAGCCCCTTAGAGGCCCAATGGGATCCAATCGAATGCTGACACGTGGCAGAATAACCCTAATAGGGGACATCTTTTCTTCTACTATAAATAGAGGAAAATCCTCATTTATTATACATTCATGCCCAGTCATAAATACAAAACACAAATACCGAGTAATATTAATTGCAGAATCTCCCGGAATCCGAGAGAACATTTACTTTCCGCATCCTTACTCGCTCAGACGTATTCTAACTTGATCGTCGGAGACGGAACTCCAACCAACCGGAGTCTCCGTGCTTTTGCAAGTACAGGCGGTCGGCTACCAGTTCTGGTGTTGTAACTCTCTCGCAGGACACATCAAAAGATCCCGAAACATTGACGCCGTCTGTGGGGAGAGCACTTCTAGAATGACATCCCACGAGTCTGTACCCCTTAATAACGAGAAGCGGCCTCTGGTCGAACCTGAGGTCCATACGGACCGAGACAGTGGCGACGACCAAGAGCTCGAAACCTACATGGCCCCAGACGGGTCGTTCAGGTCCAGGCGTCCCCGTCTCAAAGAAACAAGGGAACGGGATGTCAAAGGTCTCAGCCACCCAACCGGCCAGTCGGCTGGGCAAGCCCAAACGGCTAAGGGTGCTGCCCCTGTAACCAGAGATGAACTCATGAAATTCATGAGTAGCTTCAAAGGGGAAATCAGGGATCTAATTAGCAAGAAGGCAGGCTCCCACAAGAGTCAGTCGGCCAAAAAGCCATCCCCTTTTGGGAAGAAGCCTACTCCGTCAGGGAGGAAGCCTTCTCCCTCTGGGAAGAAGCCGGTGAAAGACCGGGTCCCAACTCCTCATCCAAAACCACATGGACCGGATTGGCCCATGGTGGATCTCTCAAAATTTTTCTTTCCCTAAGCGGGGAAGAAGAAGCCCATCCGGCAAGTACAACCGGATGGGTCCAAAAGGACGTTCTCTGATGCTCGGATGTTCCTCTAGCAGAAGAGAAGTCAACAATTGTCTGAGTCGGCTTCAACGTCGATATTCTCATACAGTCTCCCTAATACCTCAATGGGGTATACAGAGACAAACCGAGAGAGCTAGTCTGGCGGCATGTCTGCCCGGACTGGCCCTCAGATTATCCAGCCGGCTCCGTATGTGCCCCAACAGCCATACATGCCGTATGGATCTCCTTACATGCAGCCGACTCTTTTAGG